CCGCCGCCGAGGACGCTCGGAGGACCGAGTCTTCGGCTGCGGCGCGCTCGCTCCCTGGGGACGCTGCGAGCCAGCCAGCAGGAAAGTCCTTCTAAAGTCGGGATCTTTCCTCTGACCAATAGGAGCGCGACCCTAACAGTTGCTCTTATGACTTTCCCCCGCGTTTGGAGACGCGTTAACCACTTCATTCTTCCACCCGTCCGAGCGCTCCTCCGTTATTCACGCTTAAAACCCCCAGACTACGGTGTCCGCAGCACTCGATTCCAGCGCGCCTTCCCTTCAAAATACGCGGTTTTCGGCCCTGAGAGGTTGGAGGGCAAGAAAGTGAACCGAAATGCTTTTCAAGTGTTAGTAATGTATAAAATAATAAAAGAATTACCAGTATATGAAATCTCGACTTCATCTTGGGGCCATGAACTTTCTAATCAGGTTGGAAATATTTCCCCGGGCAGCAGCTTATTCGGAGAGTTTCCCCTCCCTCCTCCCACAATATCTCTTCCACACCTTACTGGATTTTATCCAAGGCATTAACATGTAAACCAAACCAACTTCCCAAATGCATTAGGCTTCCCTATCCGATAGCCGATGACTTCACTTATCCTGAAGAGTTTCAGCTGCACAGGAAGCAGCAATAGAGACTGATAAGGAAGATACTTATGCTAAGGTTTAAGAACAGTAAATACTTTTCCTTACAAAAAAAGGTTAATAGTCAAGATTTAAGAAAGGCTACTAGGGATTGAGCCCCTCCCCTCCCTAGCCAATTACACCACGCCCAGTAAAGCCAAAGATAAAATATAACAACTAGTAAACAAGCCACGAAAAAAATAAGATTACATGCCAGTAGAACTATAGATTATATAAAATATTTAAACTAAATTTAAAATTTTTAATGTTGTGAAAGGAAGAAGAGAAAATACACTGGGGAAATAAAAATATTGACTGTACAAGTGCAGACAATACGAGTATACTGGAATATCTAGCTAATTAAAGATATTTCCTCACTTAAAAAAAATTCTTTCAGCACTATGTGTTTAACTCAATGACTAGTTGCATTTCCTGTTCAGTTCTGCATTATGCCTCTAGACTATTTTAATGCATGAGGGCAGTGTGAATCAAACAGCTCCTGCTTCATTGTAGGGGCTATTTAATCTGGGTAGCGTTTCTCAGAAGAATGGGCTCAACATTTAAGCATCTGCCCGAAGGCTTCACTTGCAAGGGGAAGGTTGATTTTCAGGCCAGTACAACTAGATCTGAATAATCTTCAGGCTTCTGGCTCATCACCATTGTGACTATCAGCCCAGACATTATGAATCTTTTGCTATTATTATTATAGGAGAGCATGGCCAACTGTCACAAAGCAAAAACCATATGAAATACCATTATTTCTTGAAGATTAGTATCTACAATATATTTGTTTGCCTGTTTTGTTTTTCATCTGGTGAGTTTACTATTACCATGAATTCATTTTAATAATATGGCACAGATGATTTATATCAGGTTTTCATTTAAGGTACAACTTCTAAAAAACAATCCAAAAATTTAAAGGTGCATCAACATTTTGAATACTAAAGATATGTCTATATATTGTGGTAAAAAAGAAATTAATTTTTTCCAGATTCACAGATGTCCTGACAAAGCAAATCATTTGCAGGAACATTTAAGTTTATTGCCATAATGTGTGAAATTAATGAATTGTAACAGTCTATTTTACATGAGCAAAAAGACATATTCAATACATGACTCTTAACCGTACTATTTTTGATGGATAATAAAGAGTATTTTTATTTACTACAATACATTTCAGTTTTAGATTTTTTTCCTTCAAAAAGAAACTATTTAACCTTTCAACATTCTAAAGAATTATTTAATAATAAACATTATAACAAGCCCATAATTATCAGTTATAGTACAAGCATTTAAAGGTATGTATAACCCCACATTGTGGATAATTTGAAAATAATTTAGATCTGGAATGTACCACAGTTGGCCTTTTAAAATATAAGATATTCCTCCCAGGAGATTTAGCTTCGTAATTATATGTGACCTAAGTTAATATTAGCATTAGTTTCCTCCTTATGAGCCTTTATAGTCGAAGTGGAACAGAAGAGGTTGTGCAGAAATACACAATAGAAAGTCACCTGAGATTTAAAATTATTCACTGGTAATCTACAAAGCGGTTAATCCAAGATGTGCTTTGTGTTCATCTTTAAATACTTCTGAACTTTTTTTTTTAATCAAAATCATTCTGTTCCTTGCCACCTAATGGTACTTGGCTAGGATCAGAGTATTTTCCAGTGTAGGAAGTAGCTTGTACTAGGTGTTAGGAGGCCTGGATTCCCTAGTTCATTTAGAACTTAACTAATGAGTGTGTCCTTTGTGGGCTTCAATTTGCTTATATGTTAAGTGAATTCTCCAATCTATTCCAGTTCTATGACTGGAAAGTAGAAAATTTTTATACCCTTTAAGCCAATTGAAAGCTAGTAGCCTATCCTGTTAAAAAAGTGGGGGAGAACACTTCCTGTAAGAGAAAATGATGTCTGGGACTGATGATCATATTACTGATGATTTAAACCAGCTCTGTTTTCCTTCCCAATCACCAAGTATTTCCTTCATTAAATAAGTATCATGAGTGCTTTATTAAACCTGTAAATATATATTAACTTATCCCCCCCCAAATTGTTTAGCAATATATTTTAACTAAAGTGCCACAGAAGTTACAAAGAGCATGATCCTCAGAATTTTAACTCTAGGGAAAGGAAAGCTAATTTCGAATTTCTCTTTGGGGCTGCATATCATCTTGCTCCACCCTCCACTCCTTACTACTTCACTACATCAAATCAGCAATCTACTAAAACACTGTGCACTGGGTCTGCCTGCTTTTAAGCTTGGCCCACGCTGGGTGTAGCTCTTGAAGTGAGCTTTAAAAAATTATTCTAAAGTAAGCTGAGGAGGTTGCCACAGCAACCCACCCTAAAATGAAGGAAGTCTATAGATTAATCTACCCCTCAAGACTATTCAACTACAGTAGTATCTGTTCTTCAGCTAGAATATTTTCAACACACACATGATAATTGAACATAGAAGTTCAGATATAAAAAGTAGTAAGACACAAATTCCAATAGCAGAAAAAAATGTTATCTCTTTTTATAGTTACAGTAGAGATGACTCACACAAGTTTTCCTGAAATGGATTATTTGTAAAACAGATTTGCAAAGGTAGGCCCTGAAAGGTGATGCGAGTTTTAAGCAAAATGGTATGGTACTGCTCTATAATAAAGTACATAATGGTTATGCAACATTTTATCACTTTTATACATGTTTACATTATAAATACCTAATGACAGAGTTTGGCAGCTTCACCTTTATGCATTAACTTTGTGGTAGGTGATAATAACACATGTTAAGCACTTACCACATACACATACAGTCCGTCATTTGCCTTCCATTCTTTACTTCATCTCTTCATAGAAGTTACTTCACAGTTTGCAACTCTTCTTTGGCACCTTAAAATGCATAAGTACAACAAGGTACATAATTAAAAAACTTTTTTTAAGAATGTTGATATTAAAATACATTCAGATTAATTTATTTCTAAAACTTCTAATCTGAAGTACCATTAATGTTAATTCTAATTTTAAACCAAATAAATGGGTATTAAATATAAATTAATTAAAATGATCATTAATTGTGATAATACTTATAAACCTTTAAAGTAAATAATGGCAAATCTAAATTTCAAAAATTCTTTAGGTTCAGCTTTAGTCCATGCACAGTGTACATCACATGGACTGTTTGTGACTGAGAATCTGCCATATAAGAAGGATTTGTTATTACAAGCCAAGGTTTAATCACATCCTTTAGCTCGTATCTAAAGCTCTTATATTTATCTTTATTTTTGTACCTTTATTTTAATATCTGATGAAGAATTACAAGGAAGAAAGTCAAATTCATCATATCCCAAGCTAATAAAATTTGTCAAGTTGGGATACTGAAGTTTCAACTGAAGTTGCTGAAAGGGCTTATTTTATATGTTGCCTAAAGGCCAACTTTAAATACTTTGGGATTAGTTATGTGAATTCAGTACGGTTAATGAATTCTATTACCAATAATACCTTATCCTTCCAAGCCGTGTTTTACTGTGCTGAGCACAGACAAGTGCTCCTGTGTGTTAGCCTCTGTTTAAAACCAGCTTTCAATGACTTTGAGCACACAAATGAACTTTTCTTTGGCTTTAGAACGGGTCTAGTCCTCCCAGCCTTGACACATATCAGACCATAATGGTCAATATCTATTTCCCATTTGTATTAGCAGGAAGACTTTTCATAGTCAAGAGTCATTAAGATTTATAAAGCCTCTATTTTGGGGTTGTCATCCTTAAGATTTATTTTTATTTTTAAGTTGCTTCACAGTCAAGGAGAAATGAAGAATTTTGGTCACTTTTATTTTAAGGGTGTTAGCTGAGTTTTGTCTTTCAGATTCAGGCCCACAGTGAGTTAGTCTCAACTTGGGAGTCAGTACCAGGTCACCTGGTAAATCCTTTCTCCCAGCTCGGCTTGGTTTTACAGTCTATTAAGTAGGCATCATAATACACATCTCCCAGGGCCTTTTCATCGTACAGAAATGCAATCATCATGAAATAATGTCTGATAGGTGTTAAGGCTTTTAAAAATGCCACTACAAATTATGATACATTTCTTCCTTTTCCTGGATCAATATGCCCAAATAAGGCTTGATCACTAATTTGCCTGCAAATGTATAGTTCTTTAAAAAGTATCCACATGTATGGCCACATTTCATGGACTTTACTTTTTACTTACAAAATTGTTAAATATTCATCGGAACATTGATTCTATTCCATTTCTTGAAATATCATAGGAACCTTCAATTCAAAGATTGAACTTTCACACTTCCCCTTTTAACTATTTTTTCTAGATACCTCTATGTGTGCGTGTGCCCTTTAATTTTAAAAGATCCTTACTCAGAGGGGTGGGGGTAGGGGCGAAAAATGTCACCCTGCGTTTTGGTGCCCACTTCTTTGTCTGGGAAGCAGAAGGCTGGGATTCTGTCCGGACAGCCCCCTTTAAAGACCCAGACCCGGGAACGCCTCCGGTTTCAGCAGCTCACTCCGCTGAGTTATTGACTGTAGGCAGCAGCAATCCCTCAGGTTGATTTGTGTGGAAAGTGAATCCTCGCTGGCTAGGCGTTCAGCAGAGGCGCAACAGCCGCCGAGCCAGCCAATTATTGCCGGCCCTCCCCTCTAACACAGCTCTCGGTACCTACACATTCTTCTCTGGGTCGGTCTCCCCCAACCCACTTTCCCGCGCGGACGGAGCTGAGGGGGCGGGGGGCTCCCTCCCCGGAGCGTTTCTAAAGCTCGGAGGCAGCTCTAGGGGGTGAGTGCGCCACGTGCGAGCGCCACGGGCGAGGAGGAGGCGGGCTCGGGGCCCTTCGGGGGGCTGCTGGGCCTGGGCGCGTGGAGGAGAGGCCGCGCTGTCTCGGCCGGGCGTGTGCCGGGTGGTGTCCAGAGCCGGGAAGTCACGGCTTGGGGGAACACGGCCGGTTGCTGGGCGAAGAGGCCGCGTGGCGGCCGGGGGGGGGGTACGGATGGAGAAGGGGCCAGCGGCGGTGGGTGGGCTTCCGTAACGGGCGGGGGCGGTGTCGGGGGACTTGCCCTGCTGGTGTGGTTTGGGGAACTTGGGGATATTTACCCTCAGCTGACGAAAGAGGACCCCACAGATCTGGAGGGGCGCGCGGAGCGACGCCGAGCGACGCACGGAGCGAGCCCACCCACGCACGTGCACAAAGCGCTGGCGCGCGGTCTGCGTCCGGCCGCACGGGCTGCCCTGAGGGCTCCGAGCGTTTTGCAAGCCTGGGAGAGCGACGGGGCCTCGCGCAGGTCCCGC